GCAGCAAGGTCTTCAACCCCTACACCGAGTTCCCGGAGTTCAGCCGTCGTCTCCTAAAGAATCTGGAGAGCATGTTCAAAATGTGAGCGCTCGCCCTGCGCCCCCGAGGAACGGGCGGTCTGGGACAGGGCGAGGGGCGGCCGCGCCGCGAGTGGGACGGTGCGGGGAGGAGGTGCAGGGATCCAGGGGTGCACTAAGCATCTGGCCCTGAGCAGCCAGATCGTTCGCACCGGACTTCATTGCACGCAGAGACCCAGCCAGGCTAGGGATCCGCGAGTTAGGCTCCCTGTGTCCCACTAAAGTCCCCTCCCTGGAATCCCCTGCTCCTCGGGGAGGGGAGGGGACCCGGGAGGGGACCCGCCCCCTCCACTCACACAGGTCCAGAGATTTGCTCTGAGCAATTTCTAGGAAGAAAGCCTGGGGCGCACCTCACCTGCGGGCCTTAACTTTATCCCTCGGGGAGAAATTAGCTGGATTGTTCTATTATCTTTTAAAACAAAGGAGAGAGTTAATCCTTGTCTTCCTCACCGGGTCTGAGGGAGGAACCAAGGCTGAGAACTTGGTTGAGTTCAACTCAGAGACACCTGGCCGGTGTGGAGCCAGGAGCCACCTGAGGGCGTCGCCTAGTCAACTACCCCTTCCAGCCGGTTGGGTTGCAGATGCCGCTGACTCGGGACTGGTTCCCGCTACTCTTCACTTTAGGATGGTGGCTGCTGGCGTCCGGATCACCCGTCAGAAGAGGAGAGCTTGACAGTGGGTGGCCTGTCACGTGAAAGGTCTTTTCTCTGGCCTCATTTCCCCACCTGAAGAGGGAAAGCAGTAAAGACCCTCGCCTTTTTTTTTTTTTCCTCTAAGTTTTCGGTTTGTTTTCTTTCTAAGTGAGGTGTGGCAACACTCCGAGTTCATCCTAACGTTTAGATTTGGAAAGCAGCGGTAGATGATCTCTCTGAATTCGAGGCCAGCCATGACTACATGATGATACCCTGCCTCAAAAAAAAAAAAAAATCACATTTATTTACTGAGTGTGTATGCGTGAGGAAGTGCCATGACACATTCGTGGAGGTCAGAGGACAACTTGTGAGAATCGGTTCTCTCTGCACCATGCAGGTGGTGGGATTGAACTCAGGTGGCCAGAGCTGGTAGCAAGTGCCTTTACCGACTTAGCCATCTCGCTGGCCCCACCTTTGCCTTTTAAGGTCACAAAGTAGTCTGTACACCGAAAATGCCTCACCAAGCTATTAATATTATTTCCAGAATTGGGCCGAGACCGGAAAAATGGCTGGGGGAGCGAAGGCCGCTGGCCAGGTCATGCTTGGGCGTCTTTAGAAGCGCTTGGAATGTGTTTGCCCTCCGCAAGGAGGCTCTATTTAAAGGCACTGTGGCGAGCACCGCCTCCACTATTCACTGCAAGGTTTGCAGAGCCCGCACCTTCAATACTCACCGCCTCTGACACCTCGATCTCTCAGTCCCTGGCTCGCAGCCACTGTTTTCTGGGTCCAGTTTGGGCAGCCCAGGGAGGAGGAGTTGGGACTAAAAAATTAGACTTGAGCGCAGGTGGAAAAGCCCGGTAACACACAGTAGCTTGACAGTGATGTACTTTGGGTTTTTACATTTCATGGGAAGGGCTGCTCTAGCCTGGATGCTCACCCTTGTGGCAATTCCTCCAGTCCTGGCAGATTCATCTCCACTTTGGTCTCTCCAGCTTACCTGGTTTTTATTTGGAAACCCTCTTTGGAAGGTTAAGTTTGTTAGTCAGCTGCCCAATAGGAATAAAGTCAACCGGGTCTGGAGGTCTTTAGAGCCCAGCAATGTTAGCCCTGACACTGGCCAGGCACTAGCCCAGCATCAAGCTAAGGGGAAGGCAGTGTGGGAACTGATGTTCTAGGAGAACCTACAGCCTGAATTGTGTGTGCAGGGCATTTCTAAGGGGCTATGCTGTCCACCTGAATTCTAGGTTAGATCTTTTGTCACTTGCAATAAACTTAGCATAAACAAAGGGGTGTTATCTGGCTCCTAAATGAAGCCAGGGTCGGCTTGGGGTGTGGCTGGATCTGGGAGACTGGGGTGATGATGGAATCAGTCATGCTTCATTTGTCTTTTCTTCCCCACTGCTCTGCTTCAATTTCTTGTTTTTTTGAGTTGGGGTCCTTGAGGCCCAAGCCAGTCTCAAATGTACTATGTAGCTGAGGCTGGCTAGCTCCTGGTCCACAATGCTCCCTTCTCTCTGACAGAGGATCTCACTCTGTAGCTCAGGGTGGGCTTTGAACTGTTGAAATTATTTGTGTCTATGTCCAGCAATTCTTGTTTTGTTGTTTGTTTCCCTGGTTGTCCTGGAACTCATTCTGTAGACTAGACTGGCCTGGAACTCACAGAGCTCTGCCTGCCTCTGCCTCCCAAGTGCTGGGATTAAAGGTGCGAGCCTTTTCTCCCCCCTTTCTTTTCTGTCCTTATTCTCAGGTAGCTCCTTCCAGTGGCAGAGGTAGGGTCATAGCTGCTCCAGAAAAGTCCAGTGAGAAGTAGTAGTCACAGCATCAGCCTTTATGTGCTCTTTTAGGTGTGTGTGTGTGTGTGTGTGTGTGTTATTGGCTCTTAGCCAGGTGCTGTGCTCAGGGTGAATGCATTGCTCTCATTGGCCAGGACTTAGCCTCATACCTTCTCACCAGCTCTGCCTACCTACATCAGGCTCCCCATGCCTCACAGAAAGAGGGGTTGTTCCTCTCGGGCCTTCTATATGTCCATGACACTCAGTAATGAAAGTCACTGTCCCCAGCCAAGTTCATTTTCCCATGGGTGCTCCTGCTGGGTCTTCCATGCCTGAGGCAGCAGGAACTCCATATCCCCACCACCACCACCCCCGCCATAGTCAGGGACCCCAGTCTGGGAGATTCACTGGGTAGAGTCCCCTAATAAACTCTGATTTTTAGCTCTCACTTGGCCTGCTGTCCCAGGGAAGCATGAAGCCCCGACCAGCTGTGAGAGAACACAACATTTTCTGAAGGGTTCCCAGGTCAGATCTGCCCAGCGGCTCTGCCTCCTTGCCAGCTGCTTTCTTCCACCTTGAGCTGCCTCGGGGTGGTCAGCTGGCTCCCAGTCCTTCTCTGTGTATCCCATCAACTGGTGTGTGTGTACACATACAGCTGTTGCCTGTGCACTGCTGGCCTTACCCAGGCAAGGGCAGGCCCTGAGCCCTCTTCCACCCTTCTATGGAAGCCACTGGGGCTGCGTGATTTGTAGATCTGCTCTGGCCTGGCCGTATCACCTGTCCTGTAGATTGGCTAGTGTTCCTTTTCCTCTGCCTACAATCCTGCATGACTTAATCTTATTTATGGAGACAGATTTTTACTGTATAACCAGGCTGGCCTGGAACTTGTGGCATTGCTCCTACCTCAGTTTTCCAAGTGTCAGCTCTGTATTACCTTTTTCTTTTCTCTGAGACAGGATTTCATATATTTTAGGCTAGCCTTGAACTCACCATGTAGCCACATTTGACTTTGAACTTCTGACCCTCCTGTCTCTAGCTCTCAAATGCCGGGGTTACAGGCTCATATCACCACATCCATTCAAAAAGTGCTGGGGATCAAGCCTAGGGCTTTGTGTATGTTAGGCCAGTACTTCACCACTAAGCCACACCCCTATCCTGCGTGTCTTTTAAAAGAAAATATAAAAGTGTCCAGGTCCTCCTGAACACCACTTGCCCTCTAAGCCCCACACTTTTGCCCATGGAGTGTTTGCTGCCTTAGCTGTTAGCTTTGGGCCAGACAAGGAGCCTTGCAGAAGGTTGGGGCTCCTGCGGCAGACTCCCCTGGAGATCAGTGCATTTGAATCAGCTCCTCTCTGCTTTCCTGACCCTGAGAGTCTGGTCTTCTGGGGCAAGTTCACTTCCCCCTTACCACCCTCTGCCCCCAGAGCAGCGTGCTAAAACCAACAAAAAGCAGAGAGGAGGGTGCTAGCCTGTCTTCTATTGGAGGACTTCCTACTTTTTCCTCCTGGCTTACTAACCACTCTGGGAGGCTGTGAGGAGCATAACTGTGAGGTTCAAATCTGGTCTTACCTCTGCTCTCCAGGAGATTTCCTCTGGGAAACTAGATTAAGCTTTCTTTGTGTTTGGGTTCCTCTTCTGCCAGGCAGGGCTGTCCTGTGGGGTGTGAGGAGCTGATGTTTGTTGGGATCACTTTCAGCCACTGACATTCATATCCTATTTATTGCTCATTATCATCATCATCATTAGTATTATTGCTTTTGGGAGTAGAGTCTCAATCTGTAATCCAGGATAGCCTTGAACTCAAAACAATCCTCCTGCCTCAGTCTAAGGGCTGGGATTATAGAAATGAGCCAATACATCTGGTTTTATTCACAGATTTTTAGATGATTGCAAGGCTGTCATTTCGTCCCCATGAAAATTTGGGCTGCCCTTCTTGTTTAACAATACACTTCCTATACTTCTCCAAGTGGGAGGTGACTGACGCTGAGGGGCTTTTGCTTGGTTGTTTGTCTTTCCTCTTCCAGTCATTGACTAGCCTAATCCAGTATAACCTCATCTTAATTTATGACTCTGCAAAGACCCTGTTTCCAGCCAAGGTCACATTGTAAGGTTCTAAGCCTACATGGTATGGGAGAAAGGGGATTCTACTTAACTCAGGAAAGTGAGACAAGCCACTCAGTCCTTAGACCGCTCAGGACCTGAGACTTAGGAAGGTGGGAAATCTCAGCACAATGCCCCTGCAATCTCAGCCCCCTCCCCTTGGATTAGCCTTGTCAAAACCCAGTCTCCTGTGGAAAAGCCATCCAATGGAGCTAGCCCCATCTTTGCCAGGAGCGGTCTGGCTTCAGCTGGGCTTGCCAGAATTTCACTTTTCAGTAGTTTCTAGATGCTCATTCTGATGTCACCGTCTCTCCCTGGGCCCCTTGCAGGGTGTAACCTGATTAGACCAGCACACACAAAGCACACCTACTCTTTGTCAGGAGGCAAGACTAGATGGATTCACCCAGACACAACAAAAGTATTCTTTGGTCTTTTATATTTGATTTTCCTGTTTTAAATGATGTGGCATAGGGGCTCCTTACGTTTTTCAAAGTTTTAAG